TTATCTTATCTATTTTTAGTGAGTTATAATAATATGTATATTATTTTGTAAAATATTTTATCCAAAATTGAAATACATTTTTAGATATTTAATTTGAGTGCATTTATAACTATTTTTAAATACATGAACAATAATACGTTAAATGTATATCAAATACAGAAACATTGACCACAAAAAGAAATGTATATAGAATAATGTAATATTTAGGGAACAAAATCAAAATCTTACATGTAACCAATTTTTCAGGGATTCGCTCATTTGATTTCTCCAAATACTTCTTCGCATGTTTCTTACATATCCTCGCCATATCTGGCTTACGATGTATTTCATCATCACCGGGTGGACAAATCAAATTGCGCATCATTGGAATAGAGTCCAACATTTCTTCGTCGCCAGTTGCGTTGAGCACATATTTTCTCTCAGTGGGTTTAGATAAAAGATGAGCATAAGCAAACAAATCAACCAAATCTTTTATTGTTTTATCAACCAAATCAGGTTTATGAGAAGAAGTTGAGGCCATTGAGAAAGAGAGGTGAAGAAAAAAAAAATCTGGACCAATCGGCTGAGAAGTGAGAACACTGTTCTCTGTTCTGTCTCTGGACCAATCGGCTGAGAAGTGAATTAGGGCTTCGGAAGTTGATGCAATTACCACTATACCCCTTAAAATCCACTATACCCCTTGAATTAGTGTATTAAATATGCTAATGCATATTTGGTTGAGTTCTCCTTTAAAGCCTTACCCAATCTCAGGTTCGAATCCCTCCTCTAGTGTTGCTTTTTTTTAATATTAGTTTTTCAAATAATTTTGTTTTTTTGGTTACGCTTTTTTATTACATGTCAATTTTACGTTTTGTTATCATTATTTCGTCTTTAACTAATCAAAAAAACTATATAATATTGAAATAATGTATATATATATATAACTTAAATCTATAATAAATTAATAACACATTTAAAATATTTTATGTTATAAATGTCTAAACTGCCTAAAATCGCGTAGGCCCTAATTAGACGGCGTCTGGGTCAACGTCTATTTAGCGCGTTAATGCTTCTTGAACACTTTTTTTTTATCTCATAATGTTTCTTTTCTTCAGTTAATGAGTTTTACCCATTGAGGGATATTAAAATCTAGATTTGCAAAGAAAAGAGGGATATAAAGCCAGTTTGGCAATTAAATGGTCTATTATTGGCTTGATGATCCTGAAACTTAAAGGAAGGCTTTAAGGTTTCTGTACGTTTCCAATTTACAGAATCACAAATTTATAAAATATCTTGAATATTGTTAATTTATTTTTGGGATAACAAAACGAGGAATACACACTATTAAGTGACGGAGAAAAGGCAGTTGGTACACTTGAAAGGGAGAACTGTTTTTATGTTGCCATTCACTATTTTCATTCAATTATAAAACTATTCATTTTAAAAAATAATAAAATATTAGTGAACCACTTGTGGTTCAAATACATGAATAAAAGGTAAGATATGCTGGATACAGTAAAGCCTCAACAATTTAGTGTGTTTCAAGCATTTTTTTGCTTTTATTTTTTAGTTTAATTATTTTATTAAAAATAATAGTTATAATTATTTAATCTATTGTTACTATTTGTTTCTAAATTATTTCAGTCATTTAAAAGGTAAAAATAAGTTTATTTTTTACTCATAGTAAGAGTTAGTGTGTTTGTTTTTCATAGGTATCAATCTTTATTTTGGCAAAAATATGTATCAATTTTTACTCGTTAATCGTTATTATCTTTCTATATATTTGAATTGGAGGTATTTATAATATTAAATATATCATTAAATACATTATATTTATGTTAATATCCTTATCTTTAAATATTACGAGAACATATATTAACCTAAATGTTACTTTATATTTCGAGTAGTGATTTAAAATACTTCAATTACAAATATTATATTTTTACTTGCATTATCTTATCTATTTTTAGTGAGTTATAATAATATGTATATTATTTTGTAAAATATTTTATCCAAAATTGAAATACATTTTTAGATATTTAATTTGAGTGCATTTATAACTATTTTTAAATACATGAACAATAATACGTTAAATGTATATCAAATACAGAAACATTGACCACAAAAAGAAATGTATATAGAATAATGTAATATTTAGGGAACAAAATCAAAATCTTACATGTAACCAATTTTTCAGGGATTCGCTCATTTGATTTCTCCAAATACTTCTTCGCATGTTTCTTACATATCCTCGCCATATCTGGCTTACGATGTATTTCATCATCACCGGGTGGACAAATCAAATTGCGCATCATTGGAATAGAGTCCAACATTTCTTCGTCGCCAGTTGCGTTGAGCACATATTTTCTCTCAGTGGGTTTAGATAAAAGATGAGCATAAGCAAACAAATCAACCAAATCTTTTACTGTTTTATCAACCAAATCAGGTTTATGAGAAGAAGTTGAGGCCATTGAGAAAGAGAGGTGAAGAAAAAAAAAATCTGGACCAATCGGCTGAGAAGTGAGAACACTGTTCTCTGTTCTGTCTCTGGACCAATCGGCTGAGAAGTGAATTAGGGCTTCGAAAGTTGATGCAATTACCACTATACCCCTTAAAATCCACTATACCCCTTGAATTAGTGTATTAAATATGACTTAGCATATTTGGTTGAGTTCTCCTTTAAAGCCTTACCCAATCTCAGGTTCGAATCCCTCCTCTAGTGTTGCTTTTTTTTTTATATTAGTTTTTCAAATAATTTTGTTTTTTTGGTTACGCTTTTTTATTACGGGTTTGATTGGTGAACAATTTTAAAGTGGTACAGCTTTGTACAGCTTTGACAGTTACCAATCACAAAAGCTTTATGAAAAGCGGTACAGATAACATAAACAGTTTTTTTTGGACAAAAACAAAAACAAATTAAAACGGTTATGGTTAAATACGGTTACGATTAAATACGGTTATAACGGTTACGGTTAAATACGGTTATAACGGTTACGGTTAAATACGGTTACGGTTACGGTTACAACGGTACAAAAACAAGTTTTTTTTGGACAAAAATAAAAACAGATTAAAATAATAAAAACTATATCAAACTAAAATTAGCTCTTCACTATTTTTTAGCCATGACCACGGTTACGGTTATTACGGTTACAGTTAATTAATCACCGGTTACAATTTTTTTTTTTTTTTAAATGTAACATTAACTATTATATATACGGTTAAACGGTTACGGTTAAATACTGTTACGGTTAAATACGGTTACGGTTAATTAACGGTTACAGTTAATATATTTTTTAACCGTAACTAATTATTTTTTACAGTTAACGGTTACGGTTTCTAACCGTTTTATACGGTTACGGTCCGCTTATGGTCTGAAATACGGTTACGATTAGCTTTTGGTCATGCCTACTACTTCGACTAGGCATGACCAAAAGCAAACCATAACCGTATTTGGACCATAACCGGACCGTTTTTGTATAATTTTAATTTTTTCATAACCATTTAATTGTCATGACATAATTTTAAATTTTCATATGTAGTTATATATTAAAATACATTTCTATGTAATTTTTTTTCTAAACTCATAATATTATTTATTATTTGTACCGCTATAATGTTTCCAACCAAAACAATTTTATGAAAAGCGGTACACTATAACATAACAGTTTTTTTTTGGACAAAAACAAAAATAAATTAAAACCGTTACGGTAAAATACGGTTATGGTTAAATACGGTTACGGTTATAACGGTTACGATTAAATACGGTTACGGTATACATTTCTATGTAATTTTTTTTCTAAACTCTTAATTTTATTTATTATTTACCGTAAACCGGAATTAGTTACGATTAAAAACCATAACCATTTACCGTAAACCGGAATTAGTTTCGATTAAAAAAAATATACTAACCGTAAACGTTAATATACCGGAAACGTATCAAAACCGTTATTTAACCGTACGGTTAACCGCACAGTTAACCGTATTATTAACCGCATAATTAAACTTTATAAAATATAATTGTAATTAAGTAACCGTTGGTTAATCAACCGTATCCGTAATAACCGTAACCGTGGTCATGCCTATCTTCAACAATTATTTATGTAAAACCAAAAAAAAAAAAAAGCCTCTAAAATATTATATCTTTCCACTATCGGTGAACAATCATTTATCTAAATTTGTTTTTAAAAAAAAATCATCCATGTCGAAAGATAATGGGAATCACGAAATCATAACTCTATTGGTTCGTCAAATTTTCTTTTTATCTGAAGAAATATTTTATTAATAAAACAAATATTATAAAATACAATATTGTTCTCCTACATATAGAAGAACGTAACGAAGCGAAGTTTATCATCATTGTTCTCCTACTTGTATTTGATTGTTTTTCTTTTGCGCAAACGATTTCTTTTCATTTATCATCACAATCTGAAGAAAAAAAAGTACAAGCCAATATTTCTGTTTCAGTTATATACGATCAAGGTAATAATTAATTTTTATGATACATATATGTTGCTAATTTATAATTAAGGTCAAAAATAATTATGTGAATATAAGTTTAGTTTAATTTATATTATAGTTGTCATATATAACATATTCATCTTATATTATGATATAATAATTATTATTTAAATGAGTACATTTGTGTTAAAATGTAAAAATAATTTTAGAAGATAGTATTTGTACTGTTATAATTAGTATCATTTATTACTGTTAAATCTAAATTATTACTAATATTGTATTAAACTGATTTGTCGTAGTTAATATTTTGTCTACAGAATGTCTAATGCTAATGAAGGATCTAGTTCTTCACGTCGACGAAAGAATGTAAGTTATATATATCACATAACTAATATTTTAAATAAAATAATTTTTATAACCCAATTACATGAGTCATTCATATATATAAATAAAAATATATTTCATTTTTTTAGAAAGAATACTGGTCTTCTTCTGAAGAGAGTGTTGTGCTTGAACTATATGAAGTTGAGCTTGCAAAAGTAGACTATAATACATATGGTCTTAAAAAACCACACAGAAATCGTATCATGAGCGAACTATTAAAGAGGACGGGTAAACATCTTGATAGTTGGATAAAGGTCAAAAACAAGATAGACACATTGAAGGGAAATTACAAAGAATGGGTCGACCTAATGAGTAAAACAGGTGTAAGTTCGGATAGCAGAACTGGAGTTATCCGTATGGATGACGATTGGTGGCAAGAACGTGAAGCGGTATGTATTCTATCTTGTATTAATTTGAATTAGATGTCAAAATTGTGTATCTCATTTTTTTTTTTTTTTTTCAGGAGAGTAGAACCATTTTGGCCTTTCACCGTAAACCGCCAAAATATTGGGATGCATTGCAACGTATTTGTGGACAATATGATGTATCAACTGAACACATGTACGATGTTGATGGAGCACGTAGAGAACTGCATGAAGAAGACGAAAGAGCAGATTTTAGTGGTGGTTTTGATGAGGATGGTTATACTAATAACGAGATTCCTCAAACTCATGACGAAAATACTGATGAAGATGCAGCACCCGAAACACATGTAGATATTCCAGTTGCATCGGCAGAAAAAATCCAGAATCGTTCAGGTAGAAATACCGCACGTACTGCGCCATACAATGCCGGATGAGGAGAAAGTAGTCAGCGAAGAAGTAATTCACGAGTTCATTTTGCTGGTAGTAAAGATCGTAGTAACCGTAGAAAGCATCAATTCGAAAGCTCGGTTACCACTGCATTTCAAGGAATAGCAGATGCACGACGTGCAACTGTATCAGCTATGCGACCTGATAGGTACAATCCCGAAGAATACGCAAAATTTAAAGAAGCATTTGCTATATTGAATTCTTTACCAATTGAGAAGTACAAACCGTTTTGGAAAGCCTCAGCGAAGCTTCTTAAGGAGGATGCATGGTGGTGTAATGCATTTTTAGACACCTCTTTTGAGTCAGATGAAGATAGAATCCGCTTTTTGGAAAGTATAACTGAGGTGGACCGGTTGGAAACCGTAACTCCTTCAAATTTGGCAAATTTTGGATCCTTTTTAAGTGGTTCCAGCGGTGGAAGTGTGCGATCATCAGGAAGTTCTGTAGGACATTCTTCAGGAAATTCTGTGGGACATTCATCCGGAAACTCTGAATATAGGTTTGCTGAATTTCCACAGTTTCAACCATCTCCCGCTATGGGACAGTTTTTTTCTTCTCCAGTGCAAGGATTTAATATGCCCGGACAGATGATGGGTGCGCCATATGTTCCGATGATGTTTCCTCAAGGATTTGGTGGTTATCCTTTTATTGCCTCGTCGCCTGCTACACAAATGATGCAAACATCAGGATCTCCTGGAGTCTTTAATGTTGGGGCATCATCATCGATGGGTGGAATTTCAGCTACACAAATGGGAGAAACTAATCAAGAAACAAGAACAAATTTTTCTCCTGGTTTTGTAACGCCAAATCGACGATCAACTAATACTGGATATAGGTTTGGTGTATCATCTGCAACTGGTACTCAGCCACGACAGTTAAATTTTATGGATGATAGAACGTCAAACAATCCAACTGATAGCTCGAGACAATGAATATATAATCTCAAATGTTTATGTCGTTTATGAATGTTTGTATTATATTTTAAGATTTAAAATTTATGTTTAATGTATGTTTGTCTACCACTGATTTTTTAGTCACTTAACATATTTTTTTAATGGCCAGGAAAATCGGATGAGAGAGTTATACTCTTGTGGACTAGATAATCTAACACACCAAGAATTATGCGAATTGTTTATTCTTGAAGACGAAGAAGTCGATGAGGTACTTATTCAACCAACGATGCAATACTATGAACGATATTTTTGTCGACAACCCATGCAAGCGGGAGGGGGATTAGGTTGGCTAAATATTAAACGTCAAATTGAACGTGATGATGCATCATGCTTACATGCAGTAAGGATGACCCGAGGAACATTCCAAATGTTGTGTCAGCTGATGGAAAACGAGTATGGCTTAACAGCAACAGAAAATATTAGCATTGACGAAAGTGTTGCAATGTTTCTTTCCACATGTGGTCATAATGAGGTTCAACGTACCGTAGCCCGAAATTTTGGGCGTAACCAAGAGACAGTAAATCGGAAGTTTCATGAAGTGTTAAATGCGATGGAGCGATTTGCGTGTGATCAAATAAGGACTCCAACGTCCCAGCAACTTAGAGAGTATCCCCGCAGTCTTCGTTATGATCCAAGGTATTGGCCATTTTTCAAAGGTTTCATAGGTGCTATAGATGGAACACATGTTCCCGTCATAGCACCACAGGAAAATCGAAGAGTTTATTGGGATCGTTTTGGTGAACCAAGCCTAAATATTATGGCGATATGTGATTTAGATTTGCTTTTCACATATATATGGAATGGAGCACCGGGTTCTCTTCATGATTCTAGAGTTTTATCGATAGCACAAGAGAATAGCCAAAGATTTCCGAAACCTCCAACTGGTAAATACTATCTAGTTGATTCTGGATATGCGAACCGAAAGGGTTACTTAGCTCCTTACCGGAGCAACCAACAAGAAGAGGTGAGGTATCATTTAGGACAATTTCATAATGGTCCACCTCCAAGAAATAAGTATGAATTGTTTAACAGATGGCATGCTTCACTTCGTTCTGTTATTGAAAGAACTTTTGGAATCTGGAAAAAAAAATGGAGGGTCGTGAAAGAATTACCGCGATACAAATTAGAAACTCAAAAAAAATTAGTGCTTGTTACAATGGGTCTTCATAATTACATTCGACGTTCTAATATTGCTGATGATGATTTTGTGACCGATGCAGAAAATGAAAATGATAATGGACAACATGATGTAGATGTAAGTGTGGCCAATGAAATAGAAGAGGTGGAAACATCGAGAAGTGGAGCATATATGGCAGATGTACGTAATCAAATAGCAGATTTGTTATGGGAAGCTCGTACTTAATTTCAATTGTTTATGTGTTTACGTATGTTTAAATTCTCTATGTATGTTTGAGACATTGTATTTTAGATTAAAAAATTACTAAAATTAATTTTAGTAAATCAGTTTTAATGTTTTTATTTTATAATAAAGAAAAAGATATTTTTATTTATTTTAGGACTAGTTAAGTCATATTATTATTCTAACAATAAAATATTGTTCATTCTGTATAATTTTATTTTTCATATGTAATTATATATTAAAGTACATTTCTATGTAATTTTTTTTTCTTTCTAAACTCTGAATATTATTTATTATGTGTACCGCTATAATGTTTCCAATCAGAGTAAATTTTTAAAATTTGTTCTGCGTTTTTTTTTTTGTACAGCTTTGGTGTTTATTCTTTTGTACAGCTTTGCACTATTCCCTAACAGGTAACAGCTCCAGCTAACAGCTCCAGCTAACAGCTAACAGCTTGTTACCAATCAGACCCTACATGTCAATTTTACGTTTGTTATCATTATTTCGTCTTTAACTAATCAAAAAAACTAAATAATATTGAAATAATGTATATATATATATATATATATATAACTTAAATCTATAATAAATTAATAACACATTTAAAATATTTTATGTTATAAATGTCTAAACTGCCTAAAATCGCGTAGGCCCTAATTAGACGGCGTCTGGGTCAACGTCTATTTAGCGCGTTAATGCTTTTTGAACACTTTTTTTTTATCTCATAATGTTTCTTTTCTTCAGTTAATGAGTTTTACCCATTGAGGGATATTAAAATCTAGATTTGCAAAGAAAAGAGGGATATAAAGCCAGTTTGGCAATTAAATGGTCTATTATTGGCTTGATGATCCTGAAACTTAAAGGAAGGCTTTAAGGTTTCTGTACGTTTCCAATTTACAGAATCACAAATTTATAAAATATCTTGAATATTGTTAATTTATTTTTGGGATAACAAAACGAGGAATACACACTATTAAGTGACGGAGAAAGGCAGTTGGTACACTTGAAAGGGAGAACTGCTTTTATGTTGCCATTCACTATTTTCATTCAATTATAAAACTATTCATTCTAAAAAATAATAAAATATTAGTGAACCACTTGTGGTTCAAATACATGAATAAAAGGTAAGATATGCTGGATACAGTAAAGCCTCAACAATTTAGTGTGTTTCAAGCATTTTTTTGCTTTTATTTTTTAGTTTAATTATTTTATTAAAAATAATAGTTATAATTATTTAATCTATTGATACTATTTGTTTCTAAATTATTTCAGTCATTTAAAAGGTAAAAATAAGTTTATTTTTTACTCAGAGTAAGAGTTAGTGTGTTTGTTTTTCATAGGTATCAATCTTTATTTTGAGAAAAATATGTATCAATTTTTACTCGTTAATCGTTATTATCTTTCTATATATTTGAATTGGAGGTATTTATAATATTAAATATATCATTAAATACATTATATTTATGTTAATATCCTTATCTTTAAATATTACGAGAACATATATTAACCTAAATGTTACTTTATATTTCGAGTAGTGATTTAAAATACTTCAATTACAAATATTATATTTTTACTTGCATTATCTTATCTATTTTTAGTGAGTTATAATAATATGTATATTATTTTGTAAAATATTTTATCCAAAATTGAAATACATTTTTAGATATTTAATTTGAGTGCATTTATAACTATTTTTAAATACATGAACAATAATACGTTAAATGTATATCAAATACAGAAACATTGACCATAAAAAGAAATGTATATAGAATAATGTAATATTTAGGGAACAAAATCAAAATCTTACATGTAACCAATTTTTCAGGGATTCGCTCATTTGATTTCTCCAAATACTTCTTCGCATGTTTCTTACATATCCTCGCCATATCTGGCTTACGATGTATTTCATCATCACCGGGTGGACAAATCAAATTGCGCATCATTGGAATAGAGTCCAACATTTCTTCGTCGCCAGTTGCATTGAGCACATATTTTCTCTCAGTGGGTTTAGATAAAAGATGAGCATAAGCAAACAAATCAACCAAATCTTTTACTGTTTTATCAACCAAATCAGGTTTATGAGAAGAAGTTGAGGCCATTGAGAAAGAGAGGTGAAGAAAAAAAAAATCTGGACCAATCGGCTGAGAAGTGAGAACACTGTTCTCTGTTCTGTCTCTGGACCAATCGGCTGAGAAGTGAATTAGGGCTTCGGAAGTTGATGCAATTACCACTATACCCCTTAAAATCCACTATACCCCTTGAATTAGTGTATTAAATATGACTTAGCATATTTGGTTGAGTTCTCCTTTAAAGCCTTACCCAATCTCAGGTTCGAATCCCTCCTCTAGTGTTGCTTTTTTTTTATATTAGTTTTTTCAAATAATTTTGTTTTTTGGTTACGCTTTTTTATTACATGTCAATTTTACGTTTTGTTATCATTATTTCGTCTTTAACTAATCAAAAAAACTATATAATATTGAAATAATGTATAGATATATATATAACTTAAATCTATAATAAATTAATAACACATTTAAAATATTTTATGTTATAAATGTCTAAACTGCCTAAAATCGCGTAGGCCCTAATTAGACGGCGTCTGGGTCAACGTCTATTTAGCGCGTTAATGCTTTTGAACACTTTTTTTTTTATCTCATAATGTTTCTTTTCTTCAGTTAATGAGTTTTACCCATTGAGGGATATTAAAATCTAGATTTGCAAAGAAAAGAGGGATATAAAGCCAGTTTGGCAATTAAATGGTCTATTATTGGCTTGATGATCCTGAAACTTAAAGGAACGCTTTAAGGTTTTTGTACGTTTCCAATTTACAGAATCACAAATTTATAAAATATCTTGAATATTGTTAATTTATTTTTGGGATAACAAAACGAGGAATATACACTATTAAGTGACGGAGAAAAGGCAGTTGGTACACTTGAAAGGGAGAACTGCTTTTATGTTGCCATTCACTATTTTCATTCAATTATAAAACTATTCATTTTAAAAAATAATAAAATATTAGTGAACCACTTGTGGTTCAAATACATGAATAAAAGGTAAGATATGCTGGATACAGTAAAGCCTCAACAATTTAGTGTGTTTCAAGCATTTTTTTGCTTTTATTTTTTAGTTTAATATTTTATTAAAAAATAATAGTTATAATTATTTAATCTATTGATACTATTTGTTTCTAAATTATTTCAGTCATTTAAAAGGTAAAAATAAGTTTATTTTTTACTCATAGTAAGAGTTAGTGTGTTTGTTTTTCATAGGTATCCATCTTTATTTTGGCAAAAATATGTATCAATTTTTACTCGTTAATCGTTATTATCTTTCTATATATTTGAATTGGAGGTATTTATAATATTAAATATATCATTAAATACATTATATTTATGTTAATATCCTTATCTTTAAATATTACGAGAACATATATTAACCTAAATGTTACTTTATATTTCGAGTAGTGATTTAAAATACTTCAATTACAAATATTATATTTTTACTTGCATTATCTTATCTATTTTTAGTGAGTTATAATAATATGTATATTATTTTGTAAAATATTTTATCCAAAATTGAAATACATTTTTAGATATTTAATTTGAGTGCATTTATAACTATTTTTAAATACATGAACAATAATACGTTAAATGTAT